CCCGCCCGCGACGCATTACAATCAAGCCTATAGGAAGTAGGAGGTTAGAATGGAAACAATTCCACGATCACCTGTTAGTGTCAAGAGATCAATACTCTTAAAGCGGATCGTTCCAATTGGGAAACATCACCTAATGGGGAAACGGTTATGAAAAGGTAAGTCAACCGACACTGTATATGTTGGTCCTCTCACAAATCGTAGGTAAGCAGGCATGACATGATGCACGCGTTAGTGTGCATAGCCCAACTGGTTGCTAATGATTTGACAGTAATGATTTGAATGAAGTACGCTTCAGTAAAGGGACAGAATTATTATTTAACTGGAAACCAAATAACAAACAATGATCACTCAGTAATAGAAATCTGTTTCCCAAGGATCGTAGTATATTGGTGTCCATTCCGTCTTTTCCACGTCGAGTTTGTAGACGACCTCATTTCCTACCCAGACCCCAGTTTGTGTGCAACTATTGACCGTATAATTTCTGAAAAGATTTAATTCCAATTCTATAACTTCAGAACAAAAAGCTACAACTGATGTCTTACGCATAAACTTTCACTACGGTTCCATCTTCCGTCTTCACAATGGTGATACTTGGAATGAATGGCGATTCATAATACATTCTCGAGAAGTCGTTTCCTGTACCGGGTTCCGGCAATTTTACTTCCTTGCCTGCCACCTTTTTCAGATCCGGTCTGGTGAACCATCTGTTCGTGACGGGGTTTTCATTTACTCTTTCTTTATTGGGAAGGAGATATGCTACATATATGCCAAATCCATAATTGTTCAGACTCGAATCGTCAACCTTTTTCAGGACAGCATGTTCAGATACGCTATAGGATTTTTTCACTCGAGCAAATAGTGTTTCGAATGTCTCCGAGCGTTTCTTCACTATTAGTCTGGTCTTCCTGTCGAAATGAACGAAAAAAAACCAGCGAGGTGACAATCCCTCTCCGTATCGGTCACCGCCTTCTTTGCAAGCTCTCTTGTTGTCATGTACAACAACCTAAAAATGAGATCATTGGTATGTATCTATGCGTATATATGTACACATGTATGTATAAATATACATATATGCTTGAAATCCCTTCTATACATAACGCGCTCGGATCTATCTAATCATCTTTTTTTTGTCTGCTTCAAAATTCAATATTATCTGAAGATGCACCTGGAGAGGATCAAGATTGGAAATGGTTGAGCATAGGGCAAGATCAGCAGAGCGCTCGTGAATTCAGCGGAGATCCGACCACGGGGAGAGGAAAAGGCACATGTTTAGGCGAGCTCTTGAACAAAACTTCTTGATTTGGTTAAATGAGAGGCCAAACGCCGGGAAGAATTGGCAAAAGTTAGAGAAGGGGCTAAAAGATGAGGCTCCCTGGGCCGGAATAGTGTGGTCGGGAGCGGCGCATCATTGTGCCATTTGGAATCGGGAAGACTCTGATCGACGGCTCTGCCTACATCATCTCCGCTTAGCTGAGGCATCATGTTTATAACACCGAACACAGATGGCTGGATCGGGTACAAAGGAGAACTGGAGTCGGTGGGTCAGATGGAAGTCTAGTTCTTACCACATCCCAGCTTTTCGCGGTAGGGGTGATAAACTCACCCACCTCAGTGCTCGTCCAATCCTTAAGTTTATATAGAATTATTTCTTGGCTAAAATCGTCCAAAAGCACAAGTAAAGTCGTCTACCTCCTCTTCTGTGTGTTGGATAATAGCAGTGGCCAAGCACCCAACTACACTTTCACCTAGTGGCTTAGTTGCTTGCACAAGTCGAGCATGAGTATCCTGAGCAAATATACAAGATCAGATCTACAAGAGACAACACCCAACTAGTTGTGTACGGGAGCCCTCGGAAAAGCGATGCCGCAAGGAGTTTACACGTAGAATACGACAGTAACTACGAGTCAAGCGAGTTTCTTCTGAGTTCTACATGAAAGTGCTCTGATATCCCAGGTCATGCTGAACGAAATTTTAGAGTTGTTAAGAGTTATGAAACTCTTGGTGTAGGTACGCAGTGGATTATTTGGTCCGTTACGATTTGTTTCGGTTTGCAACTCTTCTCTATTTTGAGTGGTATACTTCAGCGATTTCTCAGCTACATGCTAACTGTACCTGCCCGATTGAGCATCATGGTGGTTGTGATGAACATTAGCACAGAAATCTCCGCTAAACCTTACTCTGTATTGCACCTTTTTGCCTTTAACATCGACGACGACCAGTAGGATCAGAACGACGATATAAGCAAGCATCCTGCAATAGAACATCCGGCAATCTTAAGACGGTAAGGCAGCTACTGCACTGTTATCCAAAGACTCACTGCATGGTCACTACTCCGGCTAATGGCGAAAACGACAGCGATGATGGAAAGTATCTCTGATGCTGGCGAAAGTATATATAGGTGCAACGTCATCATCCACAGAAAATCCCGGTAGACCACACACGTTGGTCCTCACCTTCACCTGGAATATCTCGTCATTCCGTTCTCCCGTCTATCGTTGAGCTCGGTGTTCTACGACACTTCTGAATGGTGAATTGCTAAGCAACAGACAATAGAGTGATGGTTGTAAAGGGAGTCCCAAAATTATGGGTGCCTATTCATTGCAGGCATTTAGAGCTTCTGAGCTGAGAACACCAATGGAATTTTAATGCTTTTTTGCTCACATCATGAACAATGGAAAGTAATATCACATTCCAAAACATCCTAACATTAAGCACGGATCGAAGCCGAAGGTATTGCTTTGAACTCCTCGCATGTTGCACACTGGTAACTCTATTCCCTCACAGCAGCCCTCTTGAGTCTCGCTTTCGAGACCCCTACCTTGGACCGCAAATCGAAAGATTCCTTCCTATTAAAGACCCATGCGACAGCGTCAATTGAGTAAAGATCTGGAGAGCAGGATGAACATACCACCTCTATGCTAATGAAGTCAAGCGGCTGGCGGCGGCACCGCTCTTGAACGAGCTGGGCTCACTGTAATCAGCTGTACGCAGTGGCACACACAGTTGGATAGCTCGTCCGGATACCTCTTCCATGCAAATGCCGTCGTCAAATCTCGTCCAAACCCTTATTTTTCTAGTTTTTGGAGCCACGCCCTTCTTCAACTCGCAGATTTTCGCATTTTCTTCGCCACTTTTGCACCACACTGGACTATCACTTCCACTATTCGTCTTAACCTCGATACCTAAACTGGGCCTTTAGATCTTCCAACAAAGCTGCTATACTCCTGGGAACTATTGTATGTAATTATAAAAATCAATGGAAATCAAAGTGAAGATCAGTGTAAAGTCATGACAATTCATCTCTCCAGTTCTCTGAATTCAAGAGTTACCAAATAAAAAGCTTTTTCATAGTCAGACGCAGTTTAGCTTGCAAAAAGTCAATGTGACCAAAAGGAACTGCTCACGCACGCCTTTTGCTTGAAAGTGCACGGAAATCGACTGAAATGATTGTTCCCGGTTCCTTATCAATGTAGAACCGCGTCTTTCTCGGGTGTCGGCCAGCTTCGGCGGAATGCTTCCCTTATGGATCGCTTTTATTCTCGGTCTCAGCAGCGCTTCGACAGCCGATGTGAACTCGCTTGTTGATTGTTTCCCTGAACCGGGTGCCAGTCCGTCGCTCTGTCAGGCCAGAGGATGCATCTGGCAGGAAGCCCCTCAGGTATGCTTCCGACATTAGCATACAGTTTTTTCACTTTTCTACCAAATCATTGCTTTAGGATGCTCCTGAGGGTACACCATGGTGTTTTTATCCGACTGCTTCAGGATTCAGAGTTATGTCACAACTCTCCTCCTCCCATTACGTACTGACATCAGGTATTCATTTGAGGCAAAGGATCGGGAAGAATGTTTCGTTTCATCGCCATATTTAGCATTCAACAACCCATATGGTAGCAATATCTCTCCATTGAATGTGACTAGTCGAATCAATGGGGCGACGCTCTTCGTGACTATCGGGAACAACGATAGGTAAGCACAGCTAATTTCCATTATTCTCAGTAGTCCCTGTATCATTTGGGAACTGGTTCCCGGACATTCACCCGTTCAATTCATTTGGTCCAATTCCAAAAGTCATGGGTACGTTAAAATGAGATTAAAGCATCAGGATACTAAAAAACGTCGGCTTACATAACTGCACTCGCCTTGAACTCTGTTCCAGCTTCAATTTCCCTGCATAGTTATTCAGAAGTCAATGATTTCAACGAATGGCCCAACTTTGTTTGAAAATCCTGTAACGACTTTTTATCATATAATCCTTCTTAGGTACGTGCCACCAGCGGATTTTCCAAATCTACCAACGACTTCCACAGAAACGCTCTCGTTCAAAATGGTTACTATCCCTTCCAGTGACCTCTTCGCCTTCCAGATAGTTAGGGAATCCACGAAAACCATTCTTTGGGACACCACAATTGGTAAGTGAGCCTTGCTATCGTTCATTTGCAATAACATGATTCCCGAGTGGCTCAATTGATTTAGGTGGAATGCAGTTTGCTGATAAATTTATTCAAATTGCTACTTATCTTCCATCTCGCAACGTATTCGGCTTTGGACAACATATTCATCATCGACTGAGAGTTCGTTGTAGTAAGAGCTCTTAAATGCCGTTCATATGTGCTCGCGATGGGACCTCAGCCACGGTTCCCATCAATGTTTGTGGGATAGCGCAGCCCTATTTGGTCAATATATGTTTAGAGGCACTATTTCTTTGGGAGTGCTTCCTCTCTCTAGTTCACATTAAGGTCAAGGAATAAAGTTCTCCACCGGTGATCAGTCCCATTTGGGAAGTGCCCAAACACTCAACTCCCACTCCAGACCGTGGCTATATTTCGGCAGTATATATGGTCCATATAATTAATTGGTTGGTATACAAGCCGAATGAATCGAAGTGTAAGTGCATTAGCCCTTAATAGGATAGAAGCAATCCAAAGATAAATGCTGGCCTGGGCGAGAGGTGGATCAGGATCCGATACCGGGACCATATGCGTGACAATGCTCCAGTTTTCACTGTACTACATTTTTCTGTCTCTCTATCTATCTGGTCAGGAGATCTTGTTGTAATGAAAGCATAAAGAAGCCAATTGGGGAGGTAAGAAAGGATTCAGGGGATTTTTCAAGTTCCGTCCTGTTCCTTACAGAATCTCCGAGGAATCCTCTAAGTGGGCAGACCCCATTCTTCGCAGCCTCTTTAGGAAAGGTTTCTAGCGCTCATACCAATGCTCTGATGAAAGCCACGCGTACCATTGTCTGAAATTTGTTTTACTCAGTGTGGTTCGTTCAAGAAACGTCGTTAGGATTGGAAAAGTGTTGTATAATAAGAGTCTTCTAAAGAAAGGCTTTGAATTTTTTATTTTAGCATGACTTCTCACGCTATACTGTTTGGCCAATGCTAGCCAGAGATATTGGGCCGGATTCGAGCAGCCCTCTCAGTACTCAGAATCTTTACGGTGTTCACCCATTCTACATATGTGAGTGGACCCCCTCCTCATAAAATTTGGTATACTTGTGAAAAAACCTCTCTTCATCTAGGTGTCGAAAACGACGGCAAATCTCATGGCGTTTTCATTTTCAACTCAAATGCACAGGTGACTTTACAAGTATGCGAAGAATGTAGAGTTTTGTGAAAAGAATAATATTTTCAAGGAAGTCGTTACGGGACCAGGTCCACATCTAATCCACCGTACAATTGGTGGCCGATTAGACATGGCCTTTTTCCCTGGTCCAACACCCGAAGAAGTAGTCCAGCAGTATCTTGCTTATATTGGCCATCCATTTTTGCCAGCCTATTGGGCACTTGGATATCAGGTCACTGAAATTATTTTTTATTAGCAAAGCTCTTGTTGACTAGAAGTTTCGTGTTCAGCTTTCTCGTTGGGGATACCCAAATTTGGATGCCATGAAAGCGGTTGTTGCAAGAACACAAGCTGCTCAAGTTCCTCTGGACGTTGCCTACGCCGATATCGATTATATGGATCGTTACAAAGATTTCACAGAAGGGCTGGTGAGTCGTCGTTTCCGTTAAGGCGATGAAGAAACCTTCTAAGAACGCAGTACACCATCACCACGTGCCAAGCACAGTTTATGATAATTATGGGGCATTTAGTTTCAGACGAATAATGAAATGGATAGGCCAGAACAGCGCAAAGGTTGAGAAGGGAACGATTAAATCGGCGAGTTCAAGAAATATGAATAAGGCTCCAAAAAAGTAGACAATCCAGAAGTTGGACGAGAATGTGACGTGGAAAATTGCATGGAAGGGGCATTTGGACGAGTTGTCCAGATGGGTGTGTCATTGCGTGCAGCTGCATGCAACGTGTGCTTCCCAGTGTGCATATCCGAGGTTGGAACAAATCTGAGCACCTTCTCACCAAGTTGTCTGCAGAAACGGGTCTCACCAGTCAGCGGCTTACCTCATAGGCTATACTCAGAAACTTTTTCTTTCATAGCAGTATAGTAGCTAAGTCAATATGCCAAATACACATTGTTTCAATTGCTTACAGAAATATTTATTCTTGTGTGAAAAGTCTGATTGAAGAAGTGGGCTGGTTTCGGTTCGTACGTGGATAATCTGCACAAAATGGGTCTTCACCTCATACTTATCTTTGATCCAGCTATTGAAGCGGATTACGCAAGCTTCAAAAGAGCTCGTGATCAGGTTTGTCAGAGTGCTCCATGTCGCAGTTCTTCTGGTGGATGAGAAATGCTCAAATAAGCCGTTTAGAACGTGTCGTTCATTGAATGGGTAGATAAATCTCAAGTTCCCATGAACCTTCAAAGTCGATATCCTATGGTTGCCGACAGTCTAGTAAGTTTATGACACCAAATTTTGTTCTTAGTCAGAATGACTGATTTTACTGCCCAGATTATGCTCGGGAATGTCTGGCCTGACAACAACACAGCAATGCCGGACTTCCTTGATCCGACTAACGTTACGATGAAGTGGTGGATTTCCGAATTCCAGCTTTTCCATCAAACGGTAGGTGAACAATCATGCGTACGATCGGGAACGGATTGTGGCCTAGGTTGCTGGTTGCTCACTGCAACCACCAACCTAGGCCATAATCCGTTACTGCTGTCCGTCCATTACTGCTCACTGCATTCGACTCGACCCCGAAATTTCCTAGCCAGTTGACCGCCGACTTACTGATAAATGCCTTTCCCCTTAATGAGGAGGCCAGATTTAGCTGGTGTAATGTTGTCAATGGTTTGATTTTCCCCAAGTTTTCCATTGATTAGGAAATGATTTTTAAGGTTGGTTTTGATGGCATTTGGATAGATATGAACGAGCCATCGAACTTCGACACCGACGTCTATAGTGGACAGCCAACCGGCGACAATGGCCGTCTGTCGTGTCCAATTACTGGCCCGGGCTCAGAGTTCGACAATCCCCCCTATCAAACTTATGCGGTAAGAATTTTCTAACCTCTTGGCACGACTACTGCAGTTGTCACCGTACTTCTGGCTCTCAAGAACCATCACTTAAAATCTCAGGTTTTTCAATGAGCAGCCGAAAACTCATAGATTTAGCTTTTCATAATTTTATTTCACTGCCTTAGTCTTTGATCTACTGGACTCTTTAATCTGGCTGAGAACATCCACTAGTGAGAGAAATAGGTGAGTTCTGTTTCGAGAAAAGTCTCCCATAAATAATATCGGCAATGTTGAACCCGTATTCTGGAGTAGAGCTGGATGAATGTCATCAAAATTACTCGTCATTACATCAATTCCTGCAAGAGGAATTCACAATCGCTTTTCAGTCTTTCATGGTCTCTTGGCTCACCAAGAATTCCATTATGCAGACGATGTACATCCTTAAAGATTTTAAAATAGCTCAGAGTGTGTGTCTGTTTACAGACTGTCTCTTTGATCAGGTGTATAACCGACAAGGAGAGCATTTGTGCTCCAAAACATTGTGTATGCTCGGAAAAACCGGAAGACGCACCATGGACTTCTACAATACGAAGAATCTCTATGGAATGTCTGAAGCTAGAGCGACAATCCAGGCTTTGTCGGCCACAACTGGCAAAAGAGGAGCAGTGATTTCAAGGTGAACCATCAACAAGGGGTTTTATAAGTGAATGTTCCAACTCTTGCCTCAGATCAACGTTCCCCTCGTCCGGACGTTACGGGGGAGTCTGGTTGGGCGACAACACGGCCACCTGGAAGGATCTACAGACTTCAGTTGTAGGTGGGTCATCCTTAACGTCTTCGAGCTTTTGCCTAATTCAATAGATCTCAACGTACTGTTTGAAAACCCTCATACCGGTTACACGCAAGACTTGCTTAGCCTTTCAGGTGTTATGGAGTTCAACTTCTTCGGTCTCCCATATGTGGGTTCGGATATCTGTGGATTCAATGGGAACACAACAGAGGAATTATGTCTACGATGGCATCAAATGGGAGCATTCCATCCATTTTGCAGGTAATCGTTTTGCTAACCAGAACGAGACTCCCTTCATCAAGAGTACTTCAGGAATCACAACACCGAACAAGGATCTCCTCAAGATCCTGCCGTTTGGCCAGCTGTCGCCAAAGCTGCCCGGATTGCCCTCGGATTCCGTTATCAGTACCTTCCTTATCTATACAGGTGGGGTGCTATGGATACTTTATGAAGAATGGTTTTGTTCTGATTCCGATCCAGCTTGTTCTATTCTGCCGCACTCGATGGCCACACAGTGATCCGACCGCTATTTTTCGAATACCCAACCGATTTCGTGGCCATGGAGATCGATCATCAGTTCCTCTGGGGTTCAGCGATCATGGTAGCACCAGCGCTCGAGCCGGTATGATTTCTTACCTCTAAAGATTCATTTTCAGACATCGACTCCTTTAGAATGTCACATCAGTGCATGCATACTTCCCTGCCGACATCTGGTACTCTTTGATACCTGCAACTTATGGGCAACAGATAGATATTGGCTATGTGGACGTCGAAGCTAAACTGGATACTCTCACTCCAGTATTTGCACGGGGTAAGCTGAAATCTTGCGAAGAACATCGGTCAACCGCATTCGGAGCGTCTGTAAGGGTTGGGTCTTAATGCTCATAGTATCAATAGTGAAAGTTAGTGAGAGCTGTGCCAATTCTTGACAATTGCCGTGGATTGTGCCTTCAAATTGGTCCCCAGGAAGACAAATTTGAAGGCACATTGATTTGATTTCCTTCCTAAGTCGTTGGTGAAAAATAGTGCATCGGTGGTGACGAAAAGAGCAAAAAAATCCACTGACTTCACGAAAATCGTGGCTTCCTGAAGGTGGTGAAATTATAGTTTGTACGGCTCAGGAGGGATATTCGGACGAGATTCCATTTGTTTCAATAGTGTAAAGAGCTGATTACTATAAGACAAAAATATTCAAAATTGCTTTCAACTGTCGCCATGGTTAACGACTTGTCGTTCGAATTTCCAACATGGGTGTCCCTTATCAACGGTGCACCCCCATAACCCTGTTAATGCTCGCCTGTCTTTGGGTATGGCATACAGCCGATACAATCTTCGATTCCTTCTAACCACCCACCCAGATCGTTTTCCTATCTGACTGGGTCACAAGTGGTATGATATGTGGGCGTGGGGAGCACGGATTCATTCCAAAGGGATGGGGCTTGGCAAACTGCCCTTGTCGCAGATGTCGCACCTGACAAGTGGCTTAATCAATCGATTTGTAAGCTATGCATGGAAGGATCACCCTCGTCGAGTATAAACACAGAATAAGATATTATAGTTCAATTTGCATTATAATAGCCACATTAAGGCATCAATCTGATCGGTATGTTTTGCTGCAGGTGGCTATGTGATTCCTCGTCAAGGAGCAAACACGACTTTGACGCAGTCAAGATTGAATCCTTTGGAGCTGCTAGTGACAGCCATCAATAACGTTTCGTCAGCGGTTCGTTAAACGATGATTTCAAGGCGACGATGCATGGCATGAGACTTTTTTGTTCGATACCTTCAAAAAACTCATTTAGGGAGAACTGTATTGGGATGCAGGAGATGATCTGTTTGATGACATTGCCACCCATAAAAAGTTAGTGTGCAATTCGTCGGTATAAAGCTACTATTCCAGTCCATCCATTGAAGTAGGCGGGATTTTCGTAAAAGGCGTGGCCAGTGAAGCTCGTTTCGTACGTTACCAGTGCAGTTTTTGATCTTTATTAAACTGCTCTTGGTAGAATCGAGGTCAGATTGAGTGTTTTCCGGAGGGAGGAAGGTGTCGACAGTCGGGGAGTTTGCTGAACTAGAAGCTGATTGAGTAGTCCATTCGCGACATTGGTCTCATTCGATGATTTCAGGCATCACTGGTTTTTTAAACACTCGTCCGACAACGATAAATCCTACATAACTGGCTTATGCGATGGCTGTGATTCGGTGAGTGTAGTTTAATCGCTACGAACTTTACCAAAACTAGAAAAAGCCTTTTTTTAGTCCTACATTCAGCTTTTGATGTGAAGATCCGTTTCCGGACACTTCCTGAATTCACTGATAAAAGATAAAGGTGCATGGTGCTTTTCTAGAGTGTGCAAATCCCGACACTGGATGTGATCGAAATCCTCGGCTACGACTTTTATCCCATTTTCACTACGTTCACATTGAATGGAGCCAAGGTAATTCTTGTCAGCTTCACATGACTTTGGGGGTTACTTGAGACACTGGCCTGTCAGAGTCAAGGGCGGCCGTAGGAGTCCAAACAGAGGTGGTGAAAGGGCAAGGTGGTGTGAGGGCAAGGGGCTCACTATTACACACGCGATCAGAATTCCGGTCGGTCAGGCCAGGCCAACCAAGTCCCGTTCCAGAGCCGCTCAGTTGATGCCACGCTCATCTGGGGTATAAGAGTACGTAAGTTGGGTGTCTACCGCATAAGCGTTTGATAAGCCGCTAGAGTTCTGAGCAGAAGTTGATTGAATGGGGCGAGCAGGGACATCGGATCACCGCTGAAGTTTTTATCCTTTTTTTTATTCGTTTGTCTCCCTCTGTACCTGTCCGCAGTACCTGACAATGAAGTGTGCGTGTTGTGTTGTATGTTTACTGCACATTTAAAAGTATATAAATAATGCAAATATATATATAAATAATTTCAGGTCAACATTGATACACAGGCGTCAAGTTATATGCCATTGTCCCGTCGACTTTACATTTCGACTAAAAATTTGATTCCCCTCTCTTCAACAAACTCTTTCGTACTGTCTTGGACACATCAGCCTGTTTGATGTGGAGATGTAGAAAGCTTGCAGAAGTGTCGAATGAACGATGATAGATATTGATTGGTGATAGGGTACAAATAAATATTTGCATATTTATAAAAAAAAAAAAACTAAAAAGTTTCATATGGAGTGGTAACCTCCCAGCATGGCTTTTTACCCATAACACCAGCAGAGGATCATCGTGAGCTTGGGTAGCTTATATGCCTGCGATGAGCCGATATACCCGGAAATCAGTCCTCGAAATTGCGAGTAGCATTCAAGGACCTCAATATAGTTTGTCCCATGCTAGTTAAAGACACAGTTCACGATAATTTCAAGGCAACCCTTTTTTTTTGGAAAGCGGAAGTATAAGTTGGGTAGTTCATTGGTAGTGAAGAAAACGGGAGAATTCGCCGATTTCGAGAAAAATGTGGCTCCCCAAAAGTAGGGAAGATATAGGTTGGACGAGATTGCCATGACGGAAATAGCATGGAAGGGGTGCTCGGACGTGATTTCAGTTATTGCAATTGCACAAAGAGCCGACTACATCAAGCCAAAAATGTACAGAACTGCCTTTAGGTGTCGCTGTGGGTCATGACGAGTTGTTTGAACTTCTTACATGAGTTCCCTTGTGATCGGTGCAGCCTCTTCAATGCCGGTGAGACTCGTCCACGCATACACACGGGCCATTATTTGATTCTTTATAGCTCCCCAACTAGGCCATTTTCTGACCTAATAGCGCCAGATATGGTATACGGGGCCTCAATTTCATCTTGCGGGTAATCTCAGAAACCATTTTGATCGTGAACTGTGCCTGCCTTCAAAGTAGGGGAGTTGGTGGGCAGATTCTCGAAGTGTCGTCGATTACTCTACGCTGTTTTCATAGATATCTGTCAATGAGTGGTATTTTTCAGTAACAGTACTGAAAAAAACTGAGGAAATGAAGTTAGTTACTGATATATCCGTAAAGTATGACATCAGCAAGATTCTGAAGCACAAATGACTTGGCTGCCAATGCAGAGATGTCGATTCTACACGGAGTCGATCCTATCTATAATAGCTGCAGTCCCACCGCATATGTTCGGATTCTAAGGCGAGACAATGGAAGGTACCATCAATTGGCACCTTTCATTTTGAAATGATTCAAAACTATTGGAGACAAACTTGGCAAATGTTTCCATTACTATCATATGACTATTTGTGCTGAACGAGCCACAGTAATTACATCAACATCATCAGTTTATTGTCTATTGTAGTTGTTCAATTTCGAATCAATGATGTCATGTCTATCATTTTGATTGAAAATATATGTCAAAAACACATCCACTGGGCAGACAGAAGACCGAACTACCGAGTTGTTGTTTCTTAACTATATAAATGTTCTATTATGTAGTACGCATAAGGGCTGCGGTATCCGTGTGAGGGATCTGAACCCTTCTATGGTTCCTATTTCAGGATAACTCTTTGAATTTCATGAAAACTTACTGTAAGATGATCAGGCAAGGTGCGAACCAGCGGACTTCTTCCAGATGGTGACGTCGCCTCGTGTCAATCCAATGCTCTTTAGTCCTCAATTGATGTACCTGACCTCTAAGAACGTTCATTTCTTGAAGGTGAGAAGTCGCACGAATGCTGAGTGACTGACTGGTTTTCAAAGACAGGCACTCTCGCAAGAAATCGCGCGTTTGTCCCAACTTTGCCCTCACAGCGTTCGTAGACACACCCACTTCAGCCACTCCGAATGACCTCTTCCGAAATCGGTGAGTGTTCCTGTCGTCCCACTTCCCTCGCCCTTTCCGCATTGTTTTTTTTTNTTTTTTTTTCTGTTAGCTCAGTCAATTATATGCTCTGATCGCTGCCATCACTCACACTAGGAACAGTCGGTCGAAATGAGTGGCAAACACGGTGGAGATGTTGCCAGAAATGATGTGATTACAGTCAGGCCCTACAATTACATCGACTTGTTTTCATCTGCGTTCTCGTGCTCAAAAAAGTCTTATTCCTGTTTTTAATATCAGTCAGGTGATGGATGCTATCACCCTCTTACTTGGGGTTGCTTCAGTGCACGACCATTTTATGGGAGCGAGCCCTACGAGTAGGGAAACATAAGCATTTCCACTCGGTCACAGGTCCTAAAATAATTCCTTATTTACATTAGCCCCAAAATTATCGAATGGTCAAAAGTCAACGTATAAAATTAGTGTGTACCCAGTCACTTGAGACTGTTTATAGGGGAGCTCTTTTTAATTGTAAAATGGTGTGGATGAGCGTTTTTTGCTCTTTTCACCCTGCATCGAGAGACATTTTTATGTACTCGAGGTGGAGGAAGCCTCTCCACTTCCGTCTACGCCAGTCGAGTCATGTCTCATCACCTCCGATCTGTAAGGGCTACCCGGCCATTCGGCCCATCCATGCTTTCCAAAGACTCAAAATTACCACAATATTTGCTCGATGTGGCACTAAAAAACTGGATGTGGCATGTCTTCTACTAAGGCCGAGGTGCTACAGGACTTGAAGCGCACTTCCCTGCATGCATGCATGGTTACGGGTTTGGATTTCTACCCAACGTAAACGTAAATACCTTTACGTATCGGTACTTCGTTTGATATTTCTTTCAATAGCCAGTTTTTAGTAGCCCAGCGATAGGAAACCCTGTCATCAGGCTGGGCCGAGATTATGAATAGTGAACTAATCAATTGTCCTACATCTGTCACAAAAATCAAACACTAAAAATAGATGCAACCAACCTATTGAAGTAATTTATCAAAGACTCTCTCGCCCTCAAATAACTAAATGTTTTCTGCTTCTTTATTTAGTGGACCGTACTTGTTATGGGAGATTTCTATGGTATGGCATAGTTTAACATCTTCAATTTGAAGTTATCTATTCAGGACGATCAGATTTCTTCTGCTCAGACAAAAATGACCAGTGGGAAGCCATGACTTATCGGGACAAAGTAGATTTCTTCACATACTTGGTATTAGTCATAACCGTACAAAGCGTTTTTATTTTTGGTGGGAGAGGGCTGAATGGGTCACCTTTCCCAAGTTACCCTTCGAATGTGACAATCTCTTGTTCGGAAGCATTTCTGTCCTAGGCCATTATGCGGTCAGACCGTTCTTTCAGGTNAGGTCTACATGATCCCATGCCCTCCAGTTCTCTAATGCAGATTCCTCCTCAGATGTCGTGATTGCTTTCTTGGATAAGATAGCGATATACTTCGTGCCAGACTGTAGACTATCAAAGGGTCGCTGTAATAGTAAAGCTTCCCACATGTTGTGAAATGATGTCCACATTCGTGCACGAATGCAACTTCTGAACGGTATCGTCAGAATTTGTTTCATCGTCCATCATATCCGCTCTTTCTCAGCATAACGTACCACTTTCTTTCGTCTCCTTTCTCCCTTGGATATTTATCGTTCCAATTTTTTCGCTTGGGAAACACAAGGTGTAGAAACGCACTTTTGCCAGCCCCACGTCCGCGACGGAATTGCTTAGCCCCGTTTTGACTGTCAATTTTGCAGCATGAATTATTCAGACTTCTTCGCCCTTCTCGGGTCAAAGTCCTGACATCAGTGGACTGTCAGTTTCAATCTAATCGAGAAACACTTCGTGTGAAAAAAGGCAGGGACATAGATTTTTAGGTGACCCTTTAAAGGAGCCTTTGGGTTTATTAGAATGGGAATGTACAAATGCCCATGTTAGGTATCCATTGCTATTGGGTCCCTTTCAAATAACTCATGACTCCCTACAAGGCTCATCTTATCAAAACTACGATTTCTTGAGCTTTATTAGGAAACCCTCACTTATACCTTCTCGTATCACCAACCATCATCAGAGGAACGAATTTCAATCGATGCCTATTAAACATCGAATGCCTTAAAATCCCTTCAGAATAGCTCCTTATTCTCTACTGTCGTAAGGAGGGTTTTTTTAGAACTCAATGACCGGTGCCATTGAAAGTTGTACCCAATCTGGGTGTGGGGTATTGAGCTTCGGTCGTCTGACTGCCGTCATCTGTTTACAATGCTTGAACGACATTTGTTTTTATCCGACGTCTCCCAATTTTGGGGAGAAACTAGTTTTACTCCTTCCCACGTCTGAAGTATATATATGAAGGAGCAACATGCATGGAGTAATGATAGGTGTGGATGGGTTTTTTTTCTTTTTGAGGGCGCAGTAACTTGTCTTCACCCACTCATTCATGGCATCGACCCCGTCTGTGGAATCCTCGGTCGTCCCATTGTGCGTAGTCATGATGCGATTGAGTGCTTATCGGGACATATATTGTCTAGTCCATCTCCAATCCCCGTCAAGGCTATAAACTCGTCAATACTGCTCCAAGGCTTGGTCGTTCAATTGTCCTGATGTGTCGTTTCGGGTATCCGCTATAACAGTGAACCTCGTGAAGGCACGATCTTCCCAAGCTGATTGTGGTGCAATCCCCAATCTTCCCATTGTAATCTCCACTGGTGCGAACCTAGAATGGTCGCTCGATCGTTTCTTGGCAAAAACCGTTCATTGTGTGCAGTTCGGGACCTGTTTGAGGGTGGACTTGGGCGCTTAATTGTGGAGTGTGACTTCGTTGTTAGCAACTTCATTCAGCTTCGGGACACTTCTTTCTCGGCGTTCTTGATCCTATCAACCTGCTGTTCCTCTTTGACTTGACAACTTTTTCCTTTACCACCTTTTCTTTTCTGATTAGCTCAGTGTTCATCTCGGTTTCCTGAGACCACATTCCCTGCCAGTGCTTTCTCGTTATTTCAGACAAATCAGTTTACTAGCGAAAAAGACCGTAACGGTTTTGTTATACAAAATGTAAACAAATAGGTTATTTCCCCATCACCGACCCATCTTCTCCCTTCCATCCCCTAAGCTGCCTCGCCGTTTTTAGCCTTCGTCAGGCCTGTTCTACATATAGTCTACAACAATACTAACGTTTAGGTTGGAGAGTCTATCCTTCCGTACGCCCCTCCCTGGTGCAGACTAACTACTCCTAATAGTCGGAAGCTTAGTTCAAGAAGCTCGATTCCCCCACCGTTCGATCTTCGTCCCAGGGTACGATTGGCTCGTAAAGAAGTACACTTGTCCAAGACGACTCCTTACAATTAGTCTCGTTTTCTTTCCATGACCTCGGAGGTACGATGAAACGAGAAATGAGCCTATTTGAGTTTATCTTCAAGGTAGCTTTTGATTCCAATTGAAAACACTTTTTTCAAAATAATGAAGACCTATATCTTTACAAAACTTAGGGAAAGAGCATTTTTGTGGCTGCGCCTCTTCCTGCAACATGATCTTAGTCTAAGTATCCATTGTCGATTATTCATTTCGTTGTTCGAAGACTACAGGAGTGTGTCTCACGTTTTCAGATAGAGAATGGGAAGAGCATCGTTCCCTAAACGAGTGCTCATGGCATTCGCATTCATATTTGTCTTCCTTTGGTGTGTACTGTTCAAGGATCTTCCACGCCTGTTGCTTCAGCGAAGGAAGAAGATAGAAAATCAGGTCTGTTTCAGTAGTTACACATTAAGCGATATCACCATGTGAACAGCGTCTTCTCATTCGCAACAAGAGTAGCCCCTGCCTGATTTTCAGATTGTGGTCATCACCGGTGGAGCAATGGGAATAGGAAAGGAGGTGGCAAAACGTCTAGCTGTCCAGCACAAGGCCAAAGTATGCATACTCGACGTGAACGAGGTGAGAACAGTAGTAGGGTCCTAATCAGTTAGATAGCCACGGGTTCCTTCCAATAGAGATTGAATACGGCTGTTCAGCTTTGAAGACACAGTCGAGCTCTTTTTTTGTTCAGAAGGAAGGCCTCAACGCTGTTGATGAGATCTCCAGAGAAGGTGGCATAGTACGGTTCTTCCGATGTGATGTCTCAGACCCTGAAACGCTGAAATCTACTGCAGACGAGATTCGGAACGACCCACTATTAGGTAAGACTATTCGAACATTTGCGATTTCTATTTAGGACCAACTGAGAACAATGATTCAGGGCCAGTGAATATATGTATTGCTAATGCAGCAGTACTTCGATTGGGTGAATGCTTGGAGTTGTCGGAAAAGGATTACAAGATGAATTCCGATGTGAACATCCTGGGGCATATTTACGTGAGTTCATCAAAGTAAACAAGCACTAATCACTAGTATACTGGCCCAACTTCTTTTCAAATTCAGTATCTGAATTTCTACTAAGACCACGAAGAAATGAATCCGTCAGACGAGGGAAATTTCGAAAAAAATATTTTAGAGACTTTGAGCCTCTACTAGAAATCCTGAGAACTGTTCACAGTAGCCTTGCTAGGTAGTTCTTTCCCGCCTCGGCTCTCCAGATTCCCAAAAGGCTTACAAATTCATCGCAAATCATAAACCAAAATCGATTGGAATTGCTTTCAGACTGTGAAGACGTTCCTTCCGGATATGGTAATTGCTGAAAAGGGACAGATCGTATCCATTGGCTCCATATGCAGTTACTATGGAGATCACTATGGAACGGCTTATTGGTAAGGACTATGTTGAGCAGCATAGGTCCGCTGTCCTGTTTCCCCGAGAGCAATCCGTTGCAGCGATAAAAGGTGTCAGGTTCGATCTCAATATTTTCGAACAAATCCCCAATTGAAAACAAAAAAGGTGACTCACCACTACTTGTAGAAAATGACTATGATCAACAGTTCCTATTCCTTGTAGGCTTTCCAATGTTAGCACTGTTTACTCCCGAAAACGGAACCATCTAACTTTGAGTAGTAAGCCAGCATATGGTGGAGCGGTAGAATGGAATACTCGTTTTCCTGTTCCCACCGAAAGAGCTCCTGACAATTTTTTCTCCTTGTAGGTAGGGTAAGGTTAATTGTCGACAGTTTATTTATTCGGAACGGCCCCTTACAGTCTCTCTGTGAACAGAAGTTTCTTTCCCCAGTCTGTCCTCTCTCGATTTTCGACTTTTTCCTCCCTTTCTATTGGCCTTCTGAATAACTGAACTTGCCCGAGCCATTACCATTGCTAACATCGGATATTGGACATATAGACAAATAACAAATAAAGGTTCATGAAACTGTGCCGTTCAGAGAAAGCTTAGGTTTTCCCTCCACCCCGCGAACATCCCCTATCAAGCCTCAACCATCACCTGCTTAGTTTTGCCAAACCCTAATTTATAGCTTTCAGTGCAGCAAAATTTGCATGTCGAGGATTCATGGAGGCACTTCAGATGGAAATGATAGCCAAAGGATTCTACAACAAGATCGTATTCACATCCATTTACCCATACTTCGTGAAAACGGGCTTTATCGAACAACTCAATGAGCCATACAGCACGTACGTTTGCTCCTCGACGGGGACTTTCGCCATTCCCTGATAGTATGCTCTCATGCATGCCATTTCTAGGTTCTACGACGTCCAGCCAGTGGACAAGTGTGCTGAAGAGGTGGTTGATGCCATCCTCAAAGAGAGAGTCTCTCACTTCATCCCCGGTGGAATCGGATTCCTTTGCCTCTACTTGAAATGGTGGGTATCAAATAATTTCTTCAAACTGAATAGGCAAGGATCGCAATATATGTTGACAAGTGACCCTAAGAAGAAGATACAGAGAAAAGTATAAAATTCTTCTGGATTGATCAACGCTTTCGACTTTCACTCAGGCCCTTAGGAAGATGTGAATGTGTGCTTGTCTCAGGGGAGCTTTTCGGCTCTTACGATCATCTCTCACAGAATATGATCTTCTGGGAACATTACAACAAGCACGGCTCGCATGCTTTTAACCGATTGAACCCCGAGAGCAATTCTAAATGGGGTGACCATGGGAGGAGCTGGTTTTTACACCCAAAACGTAAGGTCATGCTATGGATGAACTTTTGGTCGCTTTAATGGCCAACACGATTGAAATTTTCTAAACTTGGCGATGATCTCGGTGCTGACCTCAGCCAACATTACTCGTATTGGAGCGGACCCAGGATTTGTTTGTTTCAAGGGGGACAGGTCCGTGGCTGTTCGGGCCAGGAGGTTTAACTAGTAGATAGTCAAAGAGGCCGTCAAAAGGATGCGAACAATTATCCGCTGATTCCTAGCATCGAAAAGCGCCATGACTTGCTGCTATTCCGCCTTATCTGTCTTACAAAGTACATGGAAAGATAGCTCAGAGCATTGTAAAGGCCATGCCCCCATCAATCAAATGATTTTTCAGTCTGTCCACGAAAGCACTTCTGCCGTATGGTCGTAAGGTTTTCAACTTCACTTATCATCCAAAAGAAAAATCAAATCCAGTGATGAAAGTTTGAACACCGTGCTTGGCAATCAGCCTATCTAGCAGGGGTGATCGTTGATTATAATGTATGTTCATAAATGTTTACGATCTGTATAGGAATCTAAGCTTTATTATAAATTGTTAAGAAAATTTCTTTCCGACGTATTTGTATGCATTGTTATGATTATTGTATTTTTATAAATTTTTTATTTAACTGATGTATGATATTTGATTGAACGCGTAATTGAATCATCAGTGATATGGTGTAATAGTATGCCTAGTCACAGGGTTTTTACACCCTTGACAAACACAACAAGACGGTGGCAATTAGGCTGAGAATGGTCGACGAAAGAGCAGCCGAAGCAGGTTTCCTTCCCATTTTCTCGCTGGGTCCCTCATCTAAGAAGTCTCCTATCCTTGAATTTGTCATTTCCGCATCATCTCCGTCATCGCCAACAGGCAATACTTTGGCGACTTCTGCCCCTAATCCTAGACCTATCTGGGGTAAATCATCGTCTTCATCACTGTCGTCCTGAAGGTCTAAGGCAGGTCTCACTCCAGCCTTTCCGTCTCCAGGCAACTCCTCATCCATTTTCAACACGCCGGGTCCTGAGATCCTCGTTCCTTCTTCTCTATCTTTATCTTCAAGAGTGTTATCCTGATCAAATTCCTTGTCTCGAGCGAGCTCAAACATTTCGTTAACAATCTGATCAATCTTATCGTCTGCCTTTTGCCCCTTTTCTTTGGCATCTTCGACATCATTTTCAGCTTGAAATACTTCTTCGAGACCACTGAGGTCCGGCTTTACAGCAACCCCAACGGTTTCTTGTCCAGTGTTCCGCTCAGAATCGGCTTCCCTGGAATCAACGTAGTCGCTAGCAGTCGGTAGGAGAGCAGCGCTCATGTCAATTGCGTTCTCATCGTAGCTGGCCTCGATGTCATCGCTCCTGCTCGCTGCTGCTTCCGCTTCAGTAGCAGACACTGAAAACATTGAAAACATCGTAATGGGATATTTGGCGAATCATACCAAGAAGTCCTGATTTCCTATCTCGAACGGTCCCCTCAAAAGTAAAGTGAAGTAATTAAGTAGTTTCTAAGTTAAGCTAGGCCATGCAGCTACGCTTTAAGTTACAAAATGAAACGCCTGAGAATCCATCTTAAAATACCTCGGATATTCAGATACACAAAAACTAATTAGTGCAGGGGTAATGGCACCAAAAATGGCGAGTCAGTTGGTTTGATGTTTACAACATGTGCAGTACAAGTGAACCCAAACTCGATGAACTTTTCTTAGCACTCTTCTGGTGATGGGAAAAGGGAATTAAGGTAATAGCACGGGAAGCTCGCATCTAGTCGCTAAGTGGCTTTACTCCATTGTTTATGGAGAAAATCTGGGAATCAGATTTAAAGGAAAAGGGACCACACTCACCACGAGCTTCATCTTCTCTCGTTGGCTGTACATCAAGGTCCGGACCTTTGAGTGGACGAACCAAATGCTCAAAACCTAAATTCAGCAGTATCTGAAGTTAACTCCAAGTTAACTCGAGAGATTACAGAAGTAGAAATAAAAGAAACATTGTTGATGTAAAACCGATCTGTGACGGCAAGCCGTCTTACAAGCCGTCCTACTGTTACTTCGCGAAAGATCATGCGCGCCAAATCGCGCGGGAACCCATGCCATATAAGCCGAGTGCGGCAATGTAAGACATTCTATTGTACAATCGATCGTCCTCTCCGCTGTCTTCACATATCCTTAGCTGCTATTCGAAGTATTCACATATTTACTGCATATAACCACATTATTAACATCAAATGAAGTTTCTTATCTAACTGTTGGTGCTTTAGGGAATCTCGAATGTATTGGTCGCGTAAGATAGTTATCCGCGTGGCAGGCACAAACACTCGCGTACAAAAGAAAGAGACCCCTCTCGATTTGAGTGGTTCAATAAACATGCTAGAAAAAGAAAATAAGCGAAAGAGTTAGTTAATCTTTGCATGTTAACCAGAATGAGCCATGCACATGACTACTCTAGAGACAGCTGGAAGTGTTTGAGTGCCTTCATAGCCTCGACAATACAATTAGGACGGAATCTGAACGTTCTTTGATATTCTTTTGCAAAGTTCAGTACTTCTATACTTTGTAAGTAAAAGGTACAACCTCGAATTGACCATCTCTCATTCTCTTATCTCATAACCAAAAGATCAAAGTTGGTTTTGAAGTATAATCGAATTACGCCTAAACTCAAAAGGCACTCTCTGGGGTCGTGTTGTCTCGAAATTGCCCGAAACAGCTATAGCAACGACCTGCCGTAACCGGTTCCAAAGGCCGGAACACCCTTTCAGTGCATAATAATCTCGTGAAAAAGTAATCCTCAGCGCTCCACCTTTTTTCGATTTCGAGTGACCTCAAACAAGCTCCGCAACCTCCGAATTCCTATTATGTCATTGAACAAAAGGATTTTTTTCTAGGACAACTTCGCCCAGATTTACGACATCCTCAATGAGATGTGATTCCCACAGCGATCGCAATCGCTTCGAGATGTCAATGAGGGAGATCCCATACAACGAACGTATCTGGCGATTGTATTATATATTGGATCTCATCCCTGACTCTCTTGGAGCCGTAGCAAGCTGAAACAGGGAGAGGCTTGGAGTGGAACGATGTGTTAAAGAAATGCCACGATTAGTCGATCTGAGGGTCAGAAATCAGTTACGAAAGGAGAACGATCAGAAATTAGGAATGGACCGTTTGAAGTGGATCAGTCTGTTCCTTGGGTGAGCCAAGCATTACCACCTACTCGATAGCACAGAATTCAGTTTGAGCAAAGATTAAGGCGTTCAACGGGAATACGTTTTAATATCGGCCATAACCATAGACTATGCAAGCCCTAAGCCATCACAGGGTCGGAACTAGCAGGGAGCAACAGCAATAGGGTGCGGGTGCAAAACCGCAGCCCACCGTTGCTTTTCATAATATTTCGCTTGTAATCTCAAATGCCTCTAAAAATTTTTTGCTCAATGATTTTTTCGGGGCTTATCCCCTGTGTGAGCGAAAACTGGATACTGCTAGCAATTTGGGTGTAATGCACCTTTAAACTAGAACAATGGGTCCAAAATTTCCTAAAATCAAATAAGGTCCCTACACAAACGCTCTTGCTTGTCTCAATAGAAATCGAGGGCATAACTCTTTTCACTAGGCAGTTCGTGTAATAATCAATCCAGGTAGCTTCTGAAGGAAGGCTATTTTTCTTCGTTCAAACATTCAAATGGTATAGAAGAATTTGAACAAATGTCGGGGTTTACCAGGAAGAATTCTGCCTTCCTCGTCAACTGGCACCAGTACGTTGCCCTCTTCATCGACAGATCCAACTCGAGGATCATCTATGGACATGTAGATTTCTTCCTAAACAGAAATGTCAGCTTCCACTTGTAAACAATTTTGCATTATCTGCGATCTCCCAGACGTGATGCGTACGGCTGCGGTGCGTCCAGCTCAAGAGGAATTCTACCTTCTACATGTGAGAGTATTTCTTCATTTTTGATTTTTTTGCTTTTGTCTTTCGATAGCTGCTTCAGTAATTATCAACTAAGTAACTTCGCTCCCATAGCGATCATGTCTCGCTCCCATAACAATCATCGTAATCACTATAAAATCCCGAAAATCTACTCACCTCTTCAAATTCTAACGGTAGAGGCGGAAGTTCTGCGTTATCTTGACTGAGTAGACGAGATGTTCCCACATCATCTGCGAAAATAAAAGTCATACGGAAGCTAAATTCTACCAATATTTGAGGTGAAAAACCTCAGAAACTCCAAGAAGGAAATAGAAAATATAGAGAAATGGCGTGATCTTTATGTTCAGTTTTCATGGCATTTTGCATCTCATTACTACAAAAACCTATCAGCACGTGTGGCCCTCCAATTACAAAAGCTCGTTGCACTGTGGCTCGCAGGAAGTACTTGTTCCTGACAATTTTTTTAGAGCTTCAAAGGGCAAAGATCATTATGTTAGCCGGAGATGCATTCGAAGACCTTCTTGATTCTGAATTGACTGAATTGAACTTGATCATGAGCGATCGTCGATGGCGCAATGATTTTCGAAAAAGGATAATTGGATGTTGAAGACTTCCAGATCTGTTTCTTTGCAGATATAAAGTACAAAAAGTCGTATACCAAAAATGAGGCATCCTGTCCTTTCCACCAGTCCGCAACGATGCACCTAACAATCCAATATCTGGATGTTGTGTTGTGGGCTAGCCATAGAGACTTTTTCATCATCCTCAAGAATTAGTAGTGTAGTAATTCATCGGGCAAGAACAACATTTTCTAGGCGAGTATTTACTATTCCATAGAAGATTGCAAACCAATTTTTACTCCTTTGGGTTGCTCTAGGTAAGGGAGAGAACTGGGATACCCAATCGATGCCTTCTCTGCACCTGATGCATCTGATTTGTGCAACCGAAAAAGACTTTTGATTAATTACTCGTTGATTTGGACAGATGACCGATCTGCGGTCATTGCTCTTTTTTCAAACAATAAGTGAATTACAACCCACCAATCGATCAAGGACGGACTAGAGGTTCAAACAGACCCGACCCACTTAGAGAGCTTCATAATGTTCCAGAGAGATTGTATACATTAATCGCTTCGTTTCAGGATCTCTAATTGCTCGAACTCTTTCCGCTACCAATGCGAATTGTGAAGTAGCAAGAGCTGTAGCGCACGAGCAATTTGATATCGCAATTACAATGAATTTTTAGAGGAATCTCAGGGGTAAATTCGGAGGAAATGTGATGGCAAGTGGCAAGGCATTACTAGACAGATATAGTGATAGTGGTCCGAATATCGCCTAACTGAAAATTGCGGATTTTTAAAAATGGGAGGCAGAATATGACCACGATTTTGACCAACCAAAGCTCCACTGGTCCTGTTGAGACCAAATATGGATATAACTGAATTAATGATCAGGTCAATCTTCGTGGTGTCAAAAAATTTTCCAAGTATACTCATGGATTGCCCGATGAAAAAGAAAGTGGAAATTCGGTACAACCAGGGGATCAGCAAAAAAACTCTTTGGACCGTATGGACAATGCGTGCAATAGGCATAATAATTTGAATGAAAGGAGAATGCGTGGCGTATACAGAGGAGATGTGGAGAACATAATCGTATTTGGCTTTCAAAAAACAAAAGATCCGTCTGCTTATCGGTCGACATTTTTCTGCCGCTTCCAGAAGACAAAACATCGGCCTCCTCAGAGCAAATAACACGGAAGATTAGGGAGAAGATATTTCGAAATAACAAATACAGTTGTAATATTGGTAAACAGTCGAACTCAAAGAAGAAAGATGTGGTGGTGTAGCATTATCAAATGTGGTCTACTATATGAAAAACCCTAGCGGAGCACGCGTCAATGTAGAAATCAGAAAGCGAACGACAGAGTGTAAAGAGATTTGGACAGAAATTGTCATCCAAATCGACTCAGATAGTTGAGCAGTACCTCAGCACAAGCTGCTCAATGGCAGGCTCTTCAAATGCTCAAGGAGGCCTGACTTATAAATAAATTAATAAATTAACAAAAAAGAAAATGAGCGCCGCATGTGAAATCCTCAAGGACACGAAGCGGACTTGATTTCCCGACCGAGGACGAAGGTTTGCTCACAACTCTCCATTCTTGTTAGGCCCAGGCAGACATCGGGATCCGCAAGGTCGGTCTATTCAACGCAAGACCGTAAAAACAACAAAATGTAAAACAATTCATTCGACACTTCGTGTGTTTTGAAGCGTCTTCTCTGGAGACTTTTCATAGGTGTCCCTTAACGTCACTCAATGTCCCCATAAGCGTTACATCGATTCACTACCTCTTATTGAACTCGATTAAGGTAGAGAATCGATCATGTAGACAAAAAAAGCTGAAGCGTCAAGCTGCAGTGATAATAAGATAATAACTATTCTGCTCTGGGGTACGCCATGCATTAGTTTTCTACTCGAAATCGGGAGAACGCGGAAAGATGAGTGATGCTTTCGAGATACACGCAAACCGATGGTCAATCAGCAGATGATTTGGTCCACTTCAAGGCAGTCAAGTAGTCTTTTTCACCACTACCATCTGATATTTGCCTGGAAGAGAAGAAACGTTGACTAGGTCGCCAGCTAGCTCCTAACCCCTAATATACCCCATGTAAACACTCAGATAGATGGTTCCGCTGCAAAGTAACAATGAAGGAATCGAACCAGATGATATTCGTACAGCTCGTTAAACAGCCTATGTTTATGAGTGACAAAAAAACGCTCTTCTAAAGTTTACAGTAGATTTCAAACGATAATGACGACTCACCCCGTCTCAATCTCCGGCTGGCACGATACGTTGGAATCGAAATAACTCCTGAAGACACTGATAAGAGGAGAATAATCACAGCGCTACTTGACGTGTGCTAATCTGGGACTTTTCCAAATTGGTTTCAACAGAAGGAAGGGCGCTAAAAGCGTAGGAGATACTTGATCAGTAAATTTGAAGTTTATGAGGAGGGAAAGACTAGGGGCCATGGGACACCACAGCTACTCGACTGCAACTTCCACCTTTCGCTCAGGGAAATGATGGTTAGGCTCCAGCTCACGTTAAAAGAGCTGAAGTTCATCTATCGTGGCTCGAAAGGTGTTTAAAGAAGGGAGTATTCCAAACGAATCGTTAGCCACACTACACGAATGTTTATATACTGCCTATTTCCAGCTGTAAACATCCCTACCCTCGAGGGTACCCTACCAGGGATGGGAATTCGTGCAGAGGTAAAAGCTTACCTGCAATCAAGCTGCACAGAAAAAGCGTGGCTGTGTGCATGTTCGAAATGCACTGCTTATCTTCACTGAATGGGTGCAGTGTCAGCGCTCCGACGACTGAACGACAACGCTTATCAGTCCTTCCCCTTCGTCCCCGCTTCCAGACACCCACACGACCCATTTGCCCTAGGATAAATATCGAAGCTGGCATGATATCGGCCACTCAAGTGAGGCCCATTGTGTTCAAATCAATGCCCACACAATCAACGTTCGTATATGGGAAATCTATCGACTTTACCGGTACCAGATAACCTCTGGAAGTTACTAATAGGAACTCTTCCGAATATGGCTCTTAATCTTATTTGTGCTTAGAAACGGTTTTTAGCCACACGTATATTGTTTATATCTGATAATAAGCCTCAGGAAGGGAGGACCACCGGGGTGGGTAAGATGATTACCTCGTGAGAAAACGTGGGATGGGACGAGAATTGAACATTCAATTGAATCACCCACTCTGGCACTACTTCCCTCCCAAGGCTTGGGATGAAAAACTAGTGCTGAGCACCATTACGAGCCCGCAGAGACGGCTACTCCTCTTTCTGTACGCTCTAGCGCTCAATGTTAGAAAGGGGCGATCACTCCCCCCCCCCCCCCCCCCCCCCCCCCCTCCCACATACTTTTTCACCCTTCATGGTGATTGTTTTTCAAAATTAGTGACATTTCGAAGGAAAAAAGAACTTTAATATACGAAAATACAGCTGCGCACGACTGGATCCATCCACTTTCATTTTCGCTTCCTCCAGTTGACACGGCGCCGGCCCGCTTTCATTAGTAGGCTTTTATTGAGATTTAGATTTTCGAACATTCAAACTTTTAGCGTTAAGAAACTCATGCCTTATGTCTGAAGCAATTTTGCAGAATACCCTTGAGAACAATTATTTCCGCTGTTTGCAGTTCATGTAAGATGTAAAACCAAAGAGCTCAAAGTATCATTTCGATTTTAAACTATACCAACGAAACTTCACAAAAGCTGTGTCCATCATTCCGTTATTAAGGTCTACACGGGATTCCCAAAAGGGCAGTATAAATTTAGGTGCATAATCCTCAGTAACCGACTGATTCAGTGAATTACCTGGTTTTTTCACTTTTTCTACGACTATAAGTGGAAAGGAAGCCTTGACTGATTCGTATGGGTTCCAGTTCCAGTCTGCTCAGCACAACAATTACTGTGCTGATGGAAGCAAAACAGTCCTAACCTAGACCACTTAGCTAGCACCGAACTAGTTTCGCTGCATAGATTCCTGAATCGAGGAATGAGCGGCACTTAGAAGCCTTTGCATAGACTGAACACATGATCGTGGGCCACTTCAACTTTTATGGGTAGACAAATGAGGGGCGCACCTTAGTTGAGGGATGATCTACGACAGGGATAATCCTCTGCTTGGGGAGATGACTAGGTGCCTACTTAACAATGGCTTTTCCAGCCAAATTCAAAGGATAAAGGTAGCCTTTGAAAGTTAATCAGTCCCGTCTGAGGGAGCCTCGCACTTGAAATCCTTGCGGAATCTTAGCAGTCAGTGGCGCAATGAATGCGTATGGGCCCATACAGTGACTTGTGGTGGTCAGCTAATTTACAAGTCAGTGTTTTTAGCTCTCAGATGAGTCTGGTACTAATTAACCGACCAGGAAGGGATGGGAGATTTGGTTGCCCGAGGTGGATGTCGAACCAAGAACTCGTGACCATGCATGTATGATGGTGCATCGCTTGCTACTACACCAGTCAACCTATTCCTGAAATTCTTTGTACATGAACTCAAAAACAAAATGTGAGCTATCCTTGTTAATCTATGCCTACGGCGAATATGATTTTCATAAGCTCACTGTATAATGAACTCAGTGAGACCCGGAGAATACAGTGAGGGAGAAATAATGTTTTCGTTCATATGTACATGGCTAATAAATAAAAACCTGATCGCATTGTAATACAAAATAGATATAATTTCATGGAAGACACATAATACCACAGAGAAGACTGGAGACAGACTAATTTTCAAAATCCAAGAGGTATAACACCTCCTGCAGTCCAAATGTCTCAACAGTAAAAAGCAAAAGAGGGATGACCCAGCGGACTGCAAGGGCTTTGAGTTCAAGCTAACCTCGCCGTAAGAGATATAACAGAGATCACATGCGGTTGAAAGATGACAAAAAAAACTCAAAAACGAGGTTTCGGGAAGAACAATTTCTAATGTACAGGTAATTGAAGTCGAAATCAGGAAAACGAGTCATTGTTATCCTGTTTTCCTGTACTCAAACAATCATTCAGTCCTAGATGATCCCTAACTCGGCATAATTTGCTCAGAACAGGTAGATCGAAATTGCTTTCTTCAGAAGCAGTTGCGGATCTTAGAAGGGTTTCCAGCGAAGCTTCACGCATTATCCGGCGCACCTTGAGAGCAGAGAAGTATTAACTATGGTAACAAAAAAAAGTAGACAGAAAAAACAGATATTTTCATGTAGATTTGGAAAAATATTTTCGACATACATTCCATTCTTCGGACAGCCCTTCCGCTTGACATTGTTTGTTTTCAGAAGGAGCAATAGGGTGCTTCAATGGTTGAGCAGAATGAACTGGTTGAGGGATTCGAAACGTATCATTTGCCTCTGTAATACTGCTAGTCTTAAAAATTGACAAAGTTATTTTTTCGAGATAAACACATATTGTGATTACAACTTTCACGCCGTACAAATGAAATATCCCGACGGTGCGGGTTCTCGGAGGAGAAGGTGGAAAGAAAGGATGAACATGAAATCAGTGGAGAATTAAAGTGAAGTGTACTAAGCCTGCTTCGATTTACATTTTTGTTGGACCACCGTAAGTTCTCTAAGCATTACGGTCTTTCAGTCTTCTTCTTGTCCAAGTTTATTCTAGCATATTACCATTTGAAGAGGAAAAATGAGCAATCTCTTTGGATCGATTGATAACGATTAATCCGAAATGATCCACTAACTTGGGAGGTCACTCAGCATTTGACTGGGAATATGTGCAAAGGTTTCCGATCCATTATCGTTTCCAAGCCTATCCATGGTTGAATTGTTGGCGAATACGGAAGCCGCAGCTCCAAATCGTGGAATATTCTTCCATGCATCGCTTCGCGGCAAACTCACCTATACATTCGTTTCAACTGATGATATTCATAATACATGGAACTGTCGATGAAAATGTTCCTTTTGTGGTTTGGAAAAAATATATACGTCTTTGAAAAGGAAACATATATATTTCAGTGCGTACTCTTCTCGTCGGCAAGACTGAAGTAGGCGGTGCACCTTCATCGGCCATTTCTACATCGATGCTGCTCGACATCGTTATGTTGTGCACATGAAAACTGCTTTGAAGGTTTTCTTGTCGCTAAAATTAATCAAAATTTATTGATAATTTGGGTCATCATTCTGGTTAAAACAGTATGCATTTAAGCTAACGGGCCTAATAACGATGAGGGGGTAAAAAGTACCTGAAGGGACCCCGTATCATTCCTGACTAATACTCCCTTTTCGGGGCGGAATAACCACAGAAATGAATCCAGCGTTTGTAGTCAAAGAAAATTCCAACTACAGGAGTGGCAGTAGTGACAACCGTACGCTTACCAGGCGCTGTATTTGCACTTCAAGTTGACGTATCCGCTCTTCTTTTTCGTTTATTTCAGCTGCATGATGTTTTTCTTTCGCAATTAACTATAAAAATTTAATTAAAAGTTGGCGGTTAGGCAGAGTTGCCTCTACCTTACCTGATCTCTTGTTTGAGCAGCCAAACGTTCCCTCTCACGCTCCATGTTTTCTAGACGATTCTTCAGCATAAGCAATTGACCATTATGGTGGTAGTCATTTTTATCCTGACGATTAAAAACTTGGTAACAGTAAACAGACAAGATTTCGCATCACAATGAACAATCCCTTCGATTCTGTACACCGTAAAGATACTAGTATAATATATATAATCCTCATTCCTTCGATGAGCTCCTTCAAAAATGCTACGGTTCTAAATCACTGTGAAAAAAACTCCCAGTTGTTATTGAGAAAAGCTGAGACCTGCGAGTTAAAACGTCGTGGTGTGACCGATGGAGCTGTTCTTTGCATCGGTTTTCTTCTGTCATCCCGTGGAGCTCTAAGAGGAGAGCTGTGTACCGGTGCACCGTTTGTCGTTCCATTCTCTCTCGAAGCAGTCAATGTTCCCATATGTTGGCTTTTCACACCTCTTCGTAATAAGATCGTTTCTGAAGGCATGCTTTATGATGGAACTAGCATAGCAGCCAAACAAAGATTAATATAAATTGAAGAAGTCGTCAAGAATCTTACGTGTAATTTGGCTAGGCTCCGCAAGGACTGGATCATTGAAGGAGTCATCCGAGTCAGGATAATCTTCATCACGCTCTCCTACGGGGTGGTTCGATTTCGCCCTTTTCCTGGGCGGTGATACGGAAAAGTAATTTGTCATTAGACCTATAAACACACTCAATTCACCTCACTTGATAGACTCAATTATGGGGGAGAGAGCACCATTCAGAGCATACGGTGTTTGACTAGCACTGTAAAACGCTCCTCTATATATTAGTAAACTCCTTCTTTAAGATACACAAATATATGACAAACCATTCCCCATAAAAGGCAAATTTCACTTACGCAATGACATGGGAGGCTTTTACTTCACATTACATGCAAACGAAGACCACTAAGGTATCTGACCGAACACTGTTTCGTTTGACATAACGCAACCACTTTATACATTTATCATAATAAAACGAAAAATCGTAACATGCTTACACCGAAATTTAAAGTCATAGTATTTGATAAGCTCTGGCAAAATAAAATCTCTTGTTTTTCAACATACTAAATAGCTTATAAATCATAAATTCCCGAGCATTAACCGCAAACCAAACCTTATGCTAAACATAACTATGCAAAATAAATTCCTGTAGGTGAACCGAAAGACATGTTGAGAGAGTAAGAACAACTATTACCGAAACTGCTCTATCGTTAGAATCAACATTGAATCACATCAAACCGGTAGCTTCTTGAATCACAGAATATATCACTGAAGCCTATAACAATGCAACTATAAGACTACTTTGCGTCATCATCAGAGGAGAGACGGTGATGTTCATTGATTTCCTCACGAAAATATTCTATCGTCTTTATCAACCCGTCTCGCATCGAGACCTGAACTACAAACTGTTGCACTAGAAATCGTTTATTCAAATTTTTTTGCTAATCTGAGAAGTTAAACTTAAATCATATGAACAATGCCTATGTGAAAATAAACGACCTGTGGCTGCCAATTCAACTCCTTAGCAGCTCTTGAGATGTCCGGCTTCCTTTGCTGTGGATCATCCTCTTGGGAGTCTTTGTTAACAATCATGCTTTCACTTCCTAATTCAAGTAAAAGGAATAGTGGTAAGAAGAGTAGATAATACAAAGATAATCAATATGAACGAACCAACTAGATCTTTTATAATACGCGCGAAGTTGGAGATCGAATACTCTTCAGGATTTCCAAGATTGACTGGTAATGAACAGTTACTGTTCATCAGCAGTATCAACCCATCCACCAAATCATCAACATATTGGAAAGACCTCGTCTGTGAACCATCCCCGTAAATCTAAAAGATGATACATTTTGGATGCTTACAAAACAACCAGATACAAGTGGAACACACTAAAAAATTGATTTGCTGAGATTTTCTAGTAAAAAGTAATAGAGGTAGAAAATAATTTGTAAAAATTAACTCACAGTTATGGGATTTCCCTGCAACGCTTGAATAATAAAGTTAGATACGACCCTCCCATCATTCATATGCATGCGTGGCCCAAACGTATTGAAAATGCGAGCAATGCGAATGGGAACACGCTCCTGGAACACCAATCATTCGAAGAGAACTACCACTGAAACAAACAAACAATAAAGACGACCTGCTTATTGTAGGCAACCATTAACGACTCTGCCACGCGTTTTCCTTCGTCGTAGCAACTACGTGGTCCTATCGTATTCACATGTCCCCAGTAACTTTCAGGTTGTGGATGTACTTCTGGATCCCCATAGATCTCCGACGTAGACGCCAGTAATATCGTGGCTTTGACTCGCCCAAAAACAAATACAGTTATGCACACAAAACAAGATACAAACAAGGATGTAAATGTTCACAAACTTTGCTAAGCCTAGCATGTTGATCGTGCCGAGCGTGTTCGTTTTTATGGTCTTTACTGGATTATACATATAATGAGGAGGTGAAGCCGGTGAAGCCAGGTGATAGATCTGATCGACTGCAAAATGAATGATAAATCAAGTACTGCTTTTAAAAAACCGAAACCGATTTTTTAGAGACCTTCGATGAAATATGGATTGACCACATCATGATGCACCAACTCGAAGTTAGGATGACCTATCCATCGCTCAACGTTCCGCTTCCGTCCGGTAAAATAGTTATCAAGAGCAATCACCTAAAAAGTGTGATGTGTCAGCAGAGAGTGCATTAAAGTATAACGCCCATGGCTTCTTTTTTGCTTTCAAACGACACAATATGAGACCTCATACTCTTCTTTTTACCATTCGAACGAAGACGGATCAAAATAGAAAAAAAAGTAAGCCACCACCACTACCTACCGAAAAGGACAAGGGAAACTAGTCACAAAAAAGGTCATAATCAGACCTCTTCAATGAAATGGAACAACTAACATAGAGGAAGTGAAAAAAGCAAAAAACTCCTAAGAAGAGAGAAGATAAATGGTTTCGAGAAATTTTATCTCAAAAGCGAGGGATCCTTCGAACTTTGAAGGCTAATTCTTTCGAAGGAAGAAAAAAGCTCAATGAAAGATATGAAATGAATGGGAACTACTTTTTTCTCGTTCTCCGATTTTGAATTTTGTCACTATGTGTATTCAAAAGATGTCAAAGTAACAGTTGAATCAACAAATGGGAAAAACTAGCAAAGCTCATACCTCATGCCCATCCATCATGAGCTTATCAACCAGATGTGATCCAACGAACCCTGCACCCCCGGTGACCAAGATCCGTTTGCGGTGTCCCTCGTTTCGGAATCGCACATCTGGAAACGTCTTGCTGAAAGAAAATCATTCTCCGAGAAGAAACACCCAACCAAAAAGAAACACTACCTGGGTCCTTTCGCTATGGTTGCACTTTTACGCAGCGTTGTTTTCAAAAATTCTAGCTCTTTCTCTAGAGCCTCCAATCTGGCGGATAATGCCAAACTGAAAAGCAAGTACGTGACTTATGAACGAAGTCTTTTCAATTACCAATCTTTTCAATTTGATAGAATTCGATTAGGAAAACAACCACTTATGAAAGCAACGTAACAACCTTCGCTCTTTCTCCATGACATACAATTTGGACACATGAGCGCTCAAGTAGCCAGTTTCTGGATCGATAGAAAAAGGGTTTGAGGACACTAGAGCAACGTTATATACTGACGATATCACAACTGAAAGAAGATTTGCTACCGTAATCAGTGGAATAAAGATCATTCAAAAGTGAAGAGAACTTACATACTGTTGAAAAAAATACTAAAAACATCAGAATTACAAGACGAACAGAGAATAATCGAGACAACCAGTTTGGCTGTGGCATTCACTGATTGCAGCTAAACTATAGGACTCTGTTTCGAGCAGATGGAGGCCGAAGTTTTGAAATGAGTCACTCGCCCTGTAAATGGTGTGAAACCGGATCCATTAGGATAACGAAACAGTCAACACAGCATGAATCGACAAATTTTAAATAAACCCATGAAAATCGAACTTGTCGTCACATAAGTGACTGAATTATAGTTAGAATAAGTAAGCTGACGATATTAAAATAATGCAGGAAAAAGTTTCTCGAATCTCAAAACCAATACGACACCATCACGTGACATATTTCTAAGCCCTACGCGTATTGGAAGGTTGATGAATCAATAAAACCATGGAATATAAGGCATTTGAAGCTTTTTAAAGAGTGGGAGCGACTGTTGAAGTGTTCCTTTATATTGCTGAGCCCTTCAATTCTCTAATGATGTGCAATGGGGCCAAAGCAATGAAAACACCCTCGATGGAACTGTTTCTTGACCCTACAGATGCCGAATACCCATTTGATTTCATTCAGTGAACAACTGGGAAAACTGGTGCCATCAATTCACTAAGCCGAGTGCCATAGTTCGCTGTATACGGTCATATGTTAAGGTTTCCAGGAAATCAGACGTGGAATTTGATCCCAAGTCCACACCTGTCCAGGTTGTTAAGAGAACCACCAAGTCTACAGAACATAAATAGAATAAAGTTGTTATACAACTAGACTTGAACAAAATAAAGGCTCTAAAGTGCTCAAACACGACAATGCATCAAGCTGAGTGCTGAGAATGGGACCGGATTTTGGCTAATACGCTCTCAGTAGTGCAGTAAGCCACGATTTATGAGCTCTAACAAAATCGCAATGAATATGTCTGACCGGTATGAGCTGCGGAGATCTTCCACCTAATTTCTTACTACTAGCGGTTGTATTCTTTCCAAATGATTATGCACCAAACATCTGAATTATTAGCTCTATCACAGTAAAACAAAAACGAGACATAAACAAGATTTATAGAAAAAGCAAGACACAACGACGTATGAGAAAATAATGTGACCCCGTAGTGAAAAAGAAGAAAACTGCGTTGCGATTTCACAATCGAAACCTCGTAAGCCCTTAACCGATCTGATAAGATGGGCCGATAAGATGCAACAATTGTATATGAAGGATTGGCTGCATTCGGCTTTGTCCCGGAACGGAGAGGGAGTGCGTTTGAAGTTGGCCTGCGGCGAGTCGATACAGATAATATGAGGGGGAGGGCCAACACAGAGGTAGGATGGCAATGTGCCAATGCAAACTCTAAATGCAGCCAATTGTAAGCGAAACCAGCGAGTCAAAGTTGGATCAACGCTTCAAATGGTTCAACACCTGGTGAAAATTCATAAACCAAAGAAAATGAGCGTACCACATCGTTCAAGGGAGGGGCGGTAGAATATGGGTTCCGGTGCTAAGTGAGTTGGGAGGGGCCACGCGGCGGCGCGGCGCCTTTTCATGTCTGCACCCTCCCCGGCGAGATAGTAGACAAGCAAGAATAGGCGAGTCCGTAATGGTGTTTAGGGACGTTTCAAAGTTCTTTCATGTTATAACTGCGTGTTTTCACCTAATTTAAGGAAGGGAAGGGGCTCCGGGGTGGG